CAAGAACACTATCTTTTACAGTAACCACCAATGCTGTTTCCTCCCAATTCAGGAAAGGATATTACTGAAGCCATCACAGCTTACATAACTGATATTCACTGCTCTGAATGAGTCCTCTACAACTTCTGATCATAGCCCGTGTAATCTTAAACACCGTACAGCATTTGAGGACTCTCTCTCCCGACAGACAAGACCATTAAATTTCATACTCAAGCATACTTAAACAGTCTATTCCACCTTCTAATTCCTCCTGTCTCTTCACAGTCTACTAATCTTTTTTGCAATCCACATGCCTTAAGTCTTTAATGACCTCTCAGCCCCTATTACCAGAGCCTGAATTTAATTGATCATTCAAACATATAACTTTTACACGACTTTGTTATTTAAGATGTGTATGTTACAATGGAATATTAGAGAGATTACTGAGAAAATCAGTGTTCCAAGTGCTGATCTCCCAGTTTTCTCAACGACGCATTTTTCCTTTTTAACCCTTTCAGGGTCCAGAAGCGAAATTTCAGTGTGCACCAGGGTCCAAGAATTTATAAAAAAAAAAAAAATGCTATTTTTTCTTATGAAATGGTGCAGTGTCTTTTTCTGAAGGTAATAAAACAAAAAGTACGAAATTTGATGGAAAACTGACAAAATTATGCTCTAGTGAATTTTGATGTGTCAACGATATCTACGCATCGGCGATTTTGCCAACATTGACTCCCATTTTAGGCCAATTACATTATTCCAGTCTATCAAATTCTTAGCAATTTCAAACCATACCCCGGCCGGGATTGAACCCGCGGTCAGAGTATCTCTGACTGCGGGTTCAATCCCGGCCGGGGTATGGTTTGTTTGCAATCGTGTCATTACGATTTCGTAAGTCTAAGCGATTTCACTAGTATTACTTTTATCCTATCAACTGAGCACAAGAAATCACTACATCAACTATTTCAACTACAAAATAAAGTGATCGGAAAATGGTAATTTGGTCAATTTAATGCAATGTTCAAAATATTCCAATTTCAAAATAGGGTCCAGAATAAACAATGCAGGCATTCCTGGCATTAAGCTAACATTTCCCCTGTTCATTAGCTATGGTTTGAGGCTTTACAAATTAATTCCATTTTGATTTTTTATTCACAATGAATTTTTATTCAAACCAAAAAATAGAAGATTTACTCTTATGCAATATTGCAATAATTGTATAAATAATATCAACACATTTGTGAACACGTATTAGACCCACCAGCTGGTGTGTATTAGACATGTGAGGTCAATTGTTTACTCTTGAACATCGGCAAAAATTTAATATTTCCTCTACTTTGAGCTCAGTTTCAACGATTTCCGGTACTAAAACCAATCAAAATCATTTCTATTTCTGTAATATATCTTTCATTTTGTCAAATGAGACCAGGAAATTGCAAATACAACTATGAAAAACATACGAAAAAACACGGCAAAGTCGGTTTTAATCGAAAATTATGATCTAAGTTTTTTCTCTCATTATACACTGTGTGCTGCAGGATTTGTTATATGTGGTGCACACATACCACATAGATGCATTCTCTCATATCTAGGCCCAAATTTACCACTCACAGCTTATCAGAGTGAGCCGAGCTCATGGCATAGATCTATGGTTTGGACCCTCAACTCAAAGCCGTAGATCAACGGTACGGACCCTGAAAGGGTTAAACTGGCCATCTCCCAAGGTAAGGTGACCCCAAGAAAGAGGCAGAATATTAACTGTCATTCATTGCATTAAGTGTGCTGACATTACAGTTCACCTGACCCTCCAAACTAATATCCTCACCCCTCCTTTTAAGTAAAAGGCACTGCTCTTACCACCTCCAAACCCAAGTCTGGCTAACTGGTTTTCCATGAATCCCTTCATAAATGTTACCTTACTCACAACCAAAGAGGATATCTATTAAAAATTGTTTGTCTCTACTCCAATACACACTCACAAACCTGCTGAATATTTGAGCCCCCTAGCGCTCAAAAGCTCCTTTTCCCTTCCCTCCCCCATCCTCTCCAAGGAAAACCCCCACCCCTCACAACCCTGACTGACATTTATTCACACACAAGTACATGCACATGCACACACATAGTATACATAACATACTATCTTGATAGTAAAGCACTGCATAATATATTCTCAATACAGAAAGTCTAATATTTTAAAATTATCACTGTACATATGCTTCTCAAATCTCTAACTACAGTATTCAAAATTAACCATTAGGACTAAATAGCTTAAAAAATAATGCAGAATTTAAACTAAAATTAAAATAACAATGCTTAACGTGTACAAACTCTTGTTCACTCATCTATTTCAATCATGTGAAGCACTATGCCTGATTTGGTCACTTATCACAAGAATTAACAAGAGTAAGTACTAAGCCATACTTGAGATTTCTTAGTGGGATGCAACAGGCTCCATGACAATCATAAGATAAGAAACAAGTATCAAAAGAGATATTTATGTATAGTTTAATCTATGGTCACGATCAATGCAAATAAAGAAACCTATAAAATGGAAACATCTAAAAATTTCAATAAGCTTTTACATTATGCAGCACAGTATATTTCAAAAAAACAAGAATATTTCCCTAATTGAAGTCAAATGTGAGTTTCCTCTTTTGTGTCTTACCAAGCAAATCATGATTGATGGCATCCTTAAATAAACTGTGTATCATACACCCCATCCTCACATACAAAAATGTGAATCATAATTACAAAAGCATCTTAATCTACCAATAAAATAAACAGCTTATAAAATGACCTCTCAATGCAATCAAATCCCATTAGTCCAAACCTGTTACCCAGAAATTCAATATCACAAACTAACCATCTCAAACTCAACAAGTCATGATGTTCTTGAGCCTAATCAGAAAAAAAAAAATTTATAAAAGGAATCTAAAGTCAAACCACCAAATTTGGGTCCAATATCAAACTCATGAGCCACCCTCTGACAACCCCCCCCCCCCCCACCCCCGCTTAATACATTCTTAACTTGCATATACAGTCCTGTACTGCAACCCTATATTTTACATTGATAAGAAATCCTGAGTGGGGCAAGTTCCTTACCAATATTTTTACATTAATGAATAGTATAAAAAGTAGGAAAAGGTATGTTAAGTGATGCTCACTATAGTGAAAGAAAATTATTAGCCAACTGCAAAAGATGCTTGCCAATGATGGCAACTGACATCTTAAAATTCTGCTTTAAGGCTTGATTTCATGCTGAATTACCCATTTCTACTAGTTTTTGTTTCCCACACTATACTTAAATCACCTGCATCAGAACAGCAGGAAGAAAACTGTCTGCACTGATGTTTTAACTTGTTTCACCACAGTACTGTATCATACTTTATGCAGTTAGTGCTATAAATACATTCCCATGACTTCTATTGATATAGTATACTAAAATTAAAATTCTACAATAGTTGTTTGTTGGTGACTAAAAAGCAAGAATGAGTAAGAATGTAAGACGACAACTATCATGAAAAGCCTTTGTGATCACAAGCCCATACCAAGTAGCCTCCACGTAACATTAGGTTATTAGTAGACATGACTGCAAACATTTTTATCCCAGCATTTACAGATCCACAGAACTGTTACCATTCCTCCATTAAAATAAAAATTTAATAATGCCTATATCTAGTGTATTTTTAATACACTAGATCCCTTTCTTAAAAGATAAAACTGTTCTATATTGGACAATCTTAAAGTAAATAAAACTAGTTTCATAAAGTACTTTCACCTTTCATATTAAACCCTTAATTTCTTTAGAAAAGGAGGTGGTGAAGGGAAGAGGGGGATGGAAAGGGGAAAATTTATTATGATAATTAAACCAATTCTTCTAGATTATCATTGTTGACTTAAGATGAATTTTTGGTCAAAGCTTTATTCACTACATACTCTTATTACCAATGGTCATCATGAGAAATTCATAATTATTACCAATGGTCATTACAAGAAGTTCATAATTATTTGAAAGAAGGCTCTTCAATACCATTATGACAACTGTGGCTGCTGCTGCTGAACATACATCTGTCTAGCTTGAGAGCTAAAACCTGATGTGAACTAATACCTTTAAAAACCTGACATTTTCACTGATAAAAGTAAATTTATTATTTTAATCTTGTCATGTTCACAAGTGTTGCCAGACAGCTGCTGCCTACAGCAACCAAACTTGATGCTCTGTTCCATATTTTCTCTCTTCACTACTTTTCCATTCCCTAATGCAATTCTTGATTTTCCTCTATTTGCCAATTCTTACATTATTTTACACATCAACTTAATGATTAAGTAGGTTTTCATCTTGCAACACAATATCAGAAGGCAGCAACAATTGTGTGTGTAAAGTAGGCTTCTTCAGCAAATATTAAAAGAATGCCTTGAATGCTTAAACATTTCATAATTGGTGAAAGGCCACCACTTGAAGAAAAAGGGAGCTCCCAGAGTGCAAGTGTCATCAGAACATAAATACAGCATTTCGTTTATGTTTACAAGCAATGAACGAGTCAAGATATAATGTACCCAGGTGTTTAGGATAAAACACTGTTTAAATTAAATACAAACTTTCTTAGTGAACTATAGAAATGCTATGTATATGGGAGGATATAAAGAATCCATGCACAATGTACCAATACTAGACTGAGAAAGGTGCATTTTTTACTCTAATCAAAAATTCTTTCTTCCTACAACTGTTTTTGCAATTTTTTTTTTTATTCTCATTACCCAACTTAAGGCCAAGCTATCCTGAAGACTGACTAACTAGTTAGGCTATTGCTGTAGGCAACCAAGCAGAATCCCACAGCTATCAAACCGCAGCTGATTTAATTTCCAACTTTTCTCACAATGGGCTATCATAGAGGAATTGCATTTTTTGACTCCTAATAAAAAAAATTAAAGTTGTCAATGAATTTATTATTATTTATACCAGTGACTAGCAGAGAATAAACACACATTAAGATAATAAGGACATAACACAAATTTATACTTAC